CAAGAGAAAGCAGAACAAAAATCACCTTCAGTTGGAGTCTTTTTCTGGAGTGATAGAAACACTCTGTTTTGATTGGGGCATTTTGTTTTTGCCACAAATGTAAATAAAACAGAACTGTGCATGAATATGCACTTTCCTGTATGTTAATGTATACCTTTAAAAAAAAAACCCTAATAATCATTAGTGGAAATTCTATTAAATTTCTAGGAATTATCAAAAAAAAAACTTCTTTATAGAGGTTAAAATTTTGGTGGATAGAAGCACAGTAAATTGAAAAAAATGGTAAAAGATTTATTAGATTGTGGAAAGTGCTGCCTTAGTCTGTTTTGTGTTGCTATGACAAAATACCCAAGGCTTTGCACTTTATACGTAGAGACATTTATTTTGCTCATGATTCTGGCCACACTGGCCAAGTAGGTGCACCCCTATCTCTCTTTCTACTTTGTTTTTATCCACAGCACTTGCTATGGTTTGAAACCCAAACGTTCATGTGCTGAAAATTGGTTCCTAGTGGGAGGCAATTAGCCCTTTAAAAAGAACTAATGCTTTTTCTCAAGGGAGTATGTTCTCGCTCTACAGAAAGAGCAGATTGTTATCAAACAAGGCTACCCCACAAGCTGGGCACCTTCTGAGGGCGGCTGGCTCCCTTTCTGTTTCTCAGCTGTGTTGTGCTGCAGCAAGGAGGGCCTCTGTCAGGACACTAGACCCTCCAGTCACCAGAATTGTTTTTGGCGGGTCTGAGGTTCGAACTCGGGGTTTCACACTTGCAAAGTAGGCACTCTGCTGCTGAGCCATACTTCCCATTCATTTTTGCCCTGGTTATTTTGGAGGTGGAGTCTCAAAAACCGTTTGCCAGGGTTGGCTTCACACTGCACTCCTCCCCATCTCAGCCTCCCAAGTAACTAGGATTACAGACATCAGGCACCAGAGCCCAGCTATGTAAGGCATTCTTATGAATCCAGGCTTAAAAAAAACAAGGACTTAGTCAGAGTCTTTGGAAAACAGACCCTCTGCAGCCAATGTCCTGGAGCCTCTGGGTGCTGCCAGTCTGGCCAGTCATCCTGATCCAACAGATCACAAAAGCTGGGAACTTGTCCTGGGATCACAGATTGTTCCTGGGAAGGGCTTGGGGCAGTGAAAAGATAAGTTGCTCTTGTCAGTTTAGGCAAAACCAATTCTTCCAACCTCCCAGGAAGTCTGTGAGACCCATATTGAGCTGATTGCATGCCCAGAATTCAGAGTTTTCAGGAAAAATAAACAGATGATAGGAGCCACCACTCCAACACATTTTATCAGCTAATAAATAGGTGTGTTCTCGTCTAGCCCAGAACTGGCAATTTAGTTTTTATAAAGAGCTTTTGAGTTTCCTCTTTTCCTCTGCCTCTTCAAATAGTCATAAAATATCCCTTAAACTCTCATTCCCTCCAGTCTGAGGCCTGGCTGCTTGTATGCTCGTCATGACAACCAAAGATGCAGCCCTCACTTGAGACTGCATGGCTGGCATGACTTTCAGTTTCTGCTTCAATTATGTGTTGAATTTCCTCAAGTGGACGTTTAAAGATCCTTCTGAACAGATTGTTTATGCTGAATGAAGCCCTTCAGAGAGCATTCACTCCTCCCTTTCTCTGCTGCTTTTTGCTGGTGTACTCAGTTCACAGTTTTTGATTGAATGTGTGAATTTTACCCTCCCAGCAGGCAGGAAAAGAGAACTAAGCTCTCCATCCCACTGTGAAGTACTGCTGAAGTATCCCACTGTCAGCAAAGCAAAGGGCTCATGGGCAGACATAGCTCCCAACTTGACACCCCCCAATAGGATTCAGCACCTTGTCTGTTGGTCTCTTCTCTTCCTGCACAGCTGATGATTTGAGATTGGTACAGTTACAGAAAGTGCATCTTACCAAATTGTGACCTCTTACTACCATGATTTTCCTCCTTAAGACCAAAAGGTAGAAGCAGAAAGGTTTGAAAACTGACTTAGTATTAAAGTATGTTTCGTTATCACAGGTTTATCATTTAAGATTAGGTATGGCTGCAAATGGTAGAGATCTTAAATGTTAGTGGCTTAAACAAGAGGAAAGTATGATTGTTTCTCATATAATAACGATAATGCCAGCTCACATTTGCATAAAACTTATCTTATGCTAGGCACTGTTGTTAGCACTTTTCACACATTAACTTATTTAACCCTTACAATAGCCTCTGTCATTGATCCTGATATGACCATCTTAACAGAAGGTAGGAATTTGCCTAAGTCGGGAGTGAGTGACAGAGCAGTCTGGCTCCAGAGTCTGCCCTCAGTTAAGCGCTGTTCTGCCTGGCAGAAATGCAGAGGTCATCATAGCTTATAGGGCAGCTCTGTTCCCCGGTGTCCTTGGGGCACTCAAGCTCTTTCGCCCTTGTCACTGTGCTGTGTGTGGTTTCCAATACTGTTTGCATCTCCTTTGCAGCGTTCTGGAATCCAGAACGCCCAGGTTGAAAAAGACCTTCAAATGATTACGGAGCCCTGGATCTTCCTTTGGCAGATGTGTGTGAGGAGTGGGAGTGGTTTTGTGTGCAGCCTCCTTTGTGAGCTTCACGATTTTCTTATTTCCCCATTGTGATGAGGAGCTGCAGTGCAGAATGGGTGAGTGGAAGTGCTGTGCTCCTCATTTCTGCTCCCAGAGAGTAGGACGCAGAGCTTTCGTACAGGTTCAAAGGGGGCACACTGATTGATTGGTCATGAGAGCTGGAGGCAACTTGGGTGTCCATCCATGGGAAGAGGGAGGGACAGGGATGGAGAGGTAAAGTATAGTGGAGGCCTGCTGTGCAGAAGTAAGCTAGAGGTACAAACAGCAACATAGAAAAATCTTCGAAACCTAACATGAAGCAAAGACAAAAGGGAAAATTCTGAGCTGGGTCTTATGGCCCAGTATAATTTAACTAAGTAATATGTATGGCCACCCAAAAAACACTGCATAATAAATACTTAAGGGCTAGGGGCCTGGCTCAAGTGGTAGGCCTGCCCAACAAGTGCAAGGTCTTAAGTTCAAACTCCCATTCCACAAAAATAGATAAGTAAGATAAATAAGGTTCTGTTTTATTCTGTTTTTGGCTATAATGGGGCGTGAACTCAGAGCTTCATCCTTGCTGGGCAGGTGCTGCACCGCTTGAGCCACACCGCCAGCTGCAGAGGGTTTGTTAGTGTGAGTTCTCAGTTGTCTGAAGCCTCATCTCCGCGAGCTCAGTGTTGTCTTACAAATCCTCTTCATTCTTTTTTGTTTTTTGGTGATAAAGACAAGTGCAGTCAACAGTGGCTCTTTTTTTTTCTAAATTAATGTGCATTTTTGGAACTATAAAAATTATGCATACTGGAGAAGTTTTGGAAAGTTCAGTAAAGCTTAAAGAAAATAAAATTCTTTATTCCTACCACATGGGGAATAAGCACTATAAACCTTGTGATATATTTTATCTTTCCTCTGTGCTTACATAAACATACATAAATATTGTATGTACAGCAATTGAACATGCACCATAGTTTTATTCTTTGCTCTTTTTCCTTAATGCTGGGACATGCTTTCCTGTGATTTTACACGGTCCTTATAAACCTCATCTAAAACAAGTAGTGTGCCTCCTGTGCCAGGCATGGTGGTTATCACTTTACATATGTTAACTGTGGCCATACTTTAAGTCAGACTTTTACCTCATTCCCAGGGTCAGAACTTTCCTGACAAAGCACCTACTGTCTTCAAGAGGTTTTTTGTTTATTTGTTTGTTTTATAGCAGCTCTTGGAGCAGAATGAGAATCAAAGAATTGTTTCATGTTGACAGGAGAAGGTTCAGCTACAGGTCTTAGTAATAATTCTCATAAGTGAAAGGGGTGGGTTTTGATTATATTTTGTCATATGCTGTGTCTCCCTGTGGCACCAGGGACTACAATGAACATTCTGTGTTCAAAATGGGGCTTATGGGCCTAAAGAGAAAAGCTATGCAGAGCTCAAGGGCCTGAACATTTCCATTTGTCTCCTGACAGGTACACAGTATCCTGTCCTATCAAACAGGGGAACCTTTCTCACTACTTTAGCTCTCTCTGGCAGGAAAGGAACATCACATGGACTTTTCCTCCTCCAGGTTTCTTATGTTTTCCTTGCTAGGATCTCAAACCAGACAGTTTCTTGCTCCTGTTGCTTACTGAGAAATTTCCATGAGAAGTTAGCAGATAGTCCTCTGTAAAGGAGGTCTCTTGATTAAATAAGCATGAGAAGTACAGGGTAAAACATAGTTAAGCAGGTTTACTTAATGCAAAATTTTTTATAACTTCTCAAATCCTCTTGGTGGGTAGATCTCCAAGATGGCAATACAGGATACAGTGTTTCTCCACTGTAGATGTCTATTGAACACCTTTTTTTCTTGAGTATTCTGTAGGATTGATGTTTTACAGAACCCATCTTGGGAAATCCCAGCTTGTTGGAATTAAATCCTAAAAGCACCTACAGGCTTGGTTTATCTTCCTTCATACCCACCCCTTCACTTCTGAGTGGCAAGACTGTATGTCTGACTTATCAGTTTTGGGGATTCCGTCTTTACATTGAACCGTGGAGGCTATCTGACCCAGCTGTTCCCACTACATATAAACAATGAGTGTGCTAGACAGCTCACTGACTTTCTGAAATCAAAGAATTTTTCCAACCATGTCCAGTGAGCTGGGTATATATAGCTCATTGAACATGAGGCCTGAATTATCATTTTCTAAAACTGAATGAAATTCAGAGGAAAAGAAAGATATGCTGAAACTAACAGGACTGGCAAGAAATGGTCTGTTCAGTATTGTGATGAGATCCTCAGGAAGTTCCCTGGGATACATTTGTCCACCTGACAGGGGAGTTGAATGGGTGACCTCATTTCTTGACATCAAGTTGGCCTGGTTCTTCCCTGACCTAAAGTATTTTTTGAAGACACTAGGCTCTATTTTTCTCTCCATTTTTAGATAAGACCTCTGGACTTTCTTCCCTTTTGTTTTACAGAAGAGGATGTGGAGAACTTTGATGTTACCACCTTGTCTCAGGACATGTTGCGAAGCATTGAAGCTGACAGCTTTTGGTGCATGAGCAAGCTGCTGGATGGAATCCAGGTGAACAATTTCTGCCCGTGGGGGACACCTAGGTCCGGGGATCCTGCAGGTCTTTAGTTTACTTATACTCTCTGTCTAAGGCACCGCCACCTGTCCACCATGGTTACTCTACCTCTTTCATTAGCTTTACAGTGGTCTTGTGTCCCCCAGAGCCTGAGGAAGTCTTTAGGCTGTACCGACTCTGTCATCAGAAGGGGCCCCTCCTTCTGCATACCCAGAGCCCTGTGGGTTTGCTTCACAGTATGTGACCCCATTAGACTTTCCTCACACTTACTGTTCTGTTGATTCCCTTGCCCTCCAAAACACCATCACCAGCCAGTTGCACTGGGTTTGGATAAACAACCTGTATTTTTAAACTTGCTTCAGTGAACTTGAGGCGCAGTAGCACAGGATCTGTGTTAACCTGGGTTCTGTGTGACTTGCAGGATAACTACACCTTTGCACAACCAGGGATCCAGAAGAAGGTCAAGGCACTGGAAGAGCTTGTCAGCCGGATTGACGGTAGGTTTACAGGAAGAGGAATTCTCTAGCAGTAGCTCAGTATGATTGTGACACAAGCCAGTGATACTTGGCCCCTCCTCAGCTCCTTCTCAGCCATGATCCTTTCCAGGGACTCATGACAGTTGCCAGCATCAGCATCTTCCACACCTCAGCAGGAAGGGGTGGGGAGAACCACACTGCTACCACAAGTGCTTCCTCTCCTAGTTTTCATTCACATGTTCTCCATTCTGCAGGATCTCTGCTCAGCTCTAGACCAGCCATTCCCATATTTCTTCTCCTTCCTCCTAGAAAGACTTGCCTATTCTATATTCATTCCTTTTCCAGATAATCTATCACATACCATGTTTTTCTAAAGCACCATTTGGGCCAGGTCCTTCTGCTCTAGAACCTCTTCTGGCTTCCCAGTACCTTTAGCATCAAGTTGGTAGGCCAACTTTGTCCTGATGTAACTCAGGACTCCTGGGTTTGTTACAGTCTATGGATACCCCACCAAGACCTCTCACTGCTTCTTGTGATCTGTGCCAGCTGGGCTTCTACAGACCCAGATGTCTTTGAGGAGCAGAAGTTCCACTCTCCCCTGGCTCTGGAATTGGGGAATGGTAGAATTAAAAGGCATCTTGGGAAGCCCTCCTGTTGTCTGCTGGGGATACTGAGACCAGGGAGGGAATTCAGAACTAAGCTTACTGAAGAGCTCATAAAACCCAAAAGTGGGGTCCCTGGCACACCCACAGAGATTGTGGCAGCTTCTTTGGGATTCTGCCAGTTACTACACCAGCTAAGCATCACCTCCTCCTTTTCTTGCTCTTCCTGCTCATGGTCTGTCTGCTTCACCCAAGCAAAGCCTTTTCCTTTTCTCACACACGTTCTCTCCTTTTACCAAGTTCTCTTTTCATGGAAGCCTTCCTTGATTTGTTCTCACTCCAGCTTCCTTTTATGACTTAGAACATCACCCTTCCAATCTCATGTGTCTACTCACAGTCATGACCTGAACTTGGCAGATGGAATGTTTTCTTCCTTAGTCTTACCACCCTGACCAGATGCTAGCCCCATGGTAAGGCCAACGTGCTGGGCTCTGGCATTGCTCCCCCAGAGCCTAGTATAGGATTCATGCTGCTTTCTTCTGGGGTGCTGAGCGAGCTGACCAGAGACTGATCATAAGTTGGGCTCCAGGGCTGGCAGAGTGGCTCAAGTGGTAAAGCACCTGCTTAGCAAGCGTGAGGCCCTGAGTTCAAACCCCAGTACTGCAAAAAAAAAAAACCAGGTTCCAGTGGGCATAGTGATGGTTTCTGCCACTACCTACCCTATGCCTTTTTTCCTGCCCTTTAAAATAACTGATAGATAAAGGCATGGTACTTGAGGATAGGTGGCTTTTCAAATGTATATGCCTTCCTTATTTCTTTGCGTTATGTAAGTAATACATCCTCATTACTTTAAATGCAGAAAAACAATTAGAAATCCTCTTCTCTTTAGATTCACTCCCCAGAAATAACCATTGTTAATAGTTCTTCTTTCTTTCAAGAATTTTATTAAATAGTTGCCACTTGCCAGGGGCTATTATAAGTACTTTACTCATGTTTTGTCCTCCCTAAAACTCTCTGAGGTAAGAATGATTATCCCCCATTTTATAGGCTAGGAAACTGAGGAGGACCTTGATTTAAAACAATCCTAGTGAGCATTATTTGCAGGGGTGACTTGGAGCATAGGGATCAGGTTTGTTTTGACTTGATCCAGTATACCTCTTGGGCCCAGTGGGGCAGGAGGGAGTTAGAAGGCAGCTCATTTCTGTTGCATATAGTGAGGTACCTTCTGGTAGATCATTCATACATCATGGAAGAGGCCGCCCTTGAGTGGGTCAGTGAGCTCCTTCCACTGGCGGTGTTGAAGTCCCTGCTGGCTAGCCATCTGTCAAGAACGCTGAAGAGGAATTCCTTGCCGGTGGGAGAATGGCTAAGGTGACCTCCAAGGTTCTTTTCTGTTCTGGCTCCTTCTCTGATGAGTAATAAGATCAAGCAGTCAAATGAACCCTATGTTTCCTGTTCTGTGGCTAGAGCAGCCCCATGAGGGAAGAGGGCACTTAGCATACCACTGTGGGATGTCAGAGTCACTCTGTGTTCTGGGCTAGTTAACCAAGAGTGCTGTGCTGAGCTAATGGAATCAAACAGAGGACAGGCTATGCCCTGTTTCCACCTTGTTTGGCCCCCAGAACGAAGAGGTAGTGAGAAATGGAGTCTCCCATTTGGGCTTCTATGACTCTTAGGGTCAATCTACTAAGTTGGTGCCTGAGGCCAATGACACTTCCTGTTTCAGAGCAGGTACATAATCACTTCAGGAGGTACGAGGTGGAGTACCTACAGTTTGCCTTTCGGTGGATGAACAACCTGCTCATGCGGGAGCTTCCTCTTCGCTGCACCATCCGCCTGTGGGACACATACCAGGTATGTGGAGCCCCTGCCACAGGAAGGGTTCCCTGCTGCCTTCCACCTTCCAGAGGGTTGGGAGTAAGAGGACCACAGCTGGCTCCCTGTCAGGGATTAGAGGCCTGACCTTTTTTTCTCCTTCCCAGTCTGAACCAGAAGGGTTTTCCCACTTTCATCTTTACGTGTGTGCAGCCTTCTTGATTAAATGGAGGAAGGAGATCTTGGATGAGGAAGACTTCCAGGTGAGCTCAGACTGGGCTGGGAAGGAGCATCAGAGTGGGTGCAAGCCCTTGGTGGCTGTGTGGACAGAAGGTGCCACAGCAGGTACCTGGCTGAGAACAGGAAGGAGAAAGGGTACTCAGGAGAGGCTGCTGCTCCCAGTTGGCAAGAAGTCCCTGGGGCCTAGAGTGCTTCCCAATGGAAAGGATGCTTGTGCCAGAAAGGCTGCAGAGTAGCTGAAGGCCTAAGACAGTCTTCATTCATTCATTGGCAAGCATTTATGGAGTGCCTGCCATGTGTGAGGCACCATCAAAGGCATAGGATATACTGGGAAGCAAAACAGGCAGAGGGCTGTGCTCTCACAGAGCTCACACGTGCTGAGGGGACATGCAATAAACAAAAGCATGGCAACTAGTAAACTTAAAAGAATGTAAGAAGGTGATAAGAAATATGTATTTCTTAAAAGTAGAGCAGGGACAGATGAACTGCAATTTCAAATAAAGCTCACTGAGAGGGTGATGTATGAGTAAAGACTTGAGAAAAGTGAGAAAGCCATGCAGCCATCTAGGGCAAAGGCAATGGTGATACAAAGGCCTGGAGACAGCAGCTTGTCTTGGTGACTAGCTCAGCCTGGAGCAGGGGGGAAGAGCAGGACAAGGCGAGGGCTGAGAAGTCACAAGAGACCCACACAGAGGACTTTGTAGCTACTGTAAGGATTCTGACCTTAACTCTGAGTGGAGGGGAGCCACAGCAGGCTCTTGAGCAAAGGAAGGGTATGATCTGACTTAGATTTTAAAAGGGTCACTCTGGCTTCTATGTGGACAATAGGAGGAGGCAGGGTGGAAGCAGAGACCATGCAGGACACTATTGTAGTTCTTAGTGGAGTAAGGCATGAGGGAGGTGTTGGCCTGAGGGAGGCTGGGTGGTGATGGTGGCAGTGTGAGGAGTGTCCAGATTCACAATCTACTTGGAAAATAGAGCCTACAGGATTCTCTGGTGAATTGGGCTTAGACTAAGACAGAAAGGGATGTGTCTGGAGGACTTTATAGTGCACATAGAAGGCTGTAGGGGAGCATACTTATGGGGGATATTGAGAGTTCAGTGTTGAGCACGTTGAATTTGAAGTGCCATTAGATATCTGAATGAAGATATCAACTAGGCAAATAAATCTTGGGAGTCTGGAGTCTAAGAGAGTGGGTCTGGGTTGGACGCATACATGTAGGAACCATTGGCTAGATGCTGCTTAAAGGCATCCCTAAGGAGAGGTGTGGGCAGACAAGAGGTGAGCCCAGCACATCTGTACCACGAGGTCAGGGAGAAGAGGTGAACAGAGCACAGGGGGCTGGGAGGAATGAAGATACAGTGTCATGGACAGCCATGGTGGGAGCATTTCCAGACTGTGGGAAGAAAACTCCAGAAGGGCCTCTGTTAGGTAGAGTGCCAGGCATCTTCTCCAGGGTGGGGGACTGTCAGGCTCTGTAGTCTGCAGGGAGCACAGCCCCTGTGTTGTTCCTGGTCTTCATGAGGGAGGGGTGCTGTTTGTCTCTATACTTTGTACATTTCTGAACAGAGGGGGTTGGTTTGTTTATTTTTAATGGGAATGTGTTTGTTGTAAAAGCATGGAAAAAAGCCAGAGAAGATTGAATGTTTTTCTGACTTCTGATTGGCTGCATAGATGTTGCCAAGAGCAGCAGCATCACTTTGTGATGCTGAGCAGTGCTGCTCTGTAGTTGGGGTTAGGTGGCAAAAGGGAAGAAACCTCTTTGGAGAGAGATGGCAGGATAGGACCCAGCCTGCCTGAGGAGGGCTTTGGAAGAACATGCAGTGGATCCGTTGACTTGTGTGAGTCAGTGCTAGCTGTGGTGCTGGGCTGCAGACTACTGATTAAGAACCACAGCTTCTGCCAACAAGCAGCATACGTGATGTCCCAAGATAAATGAAAACAGGAGACTGGAATGGCCATGTGCCGGGTGAGCTATCAATTTTGATAATGTGGTTGAGGTAGAGCAGGATGTTGAGAGCATGAAGTCTAATTTAGTTATCATGAGCCAGGCTCAGAGAGCCTTGTCAGATGTGATCAAAGTGCCCCAGATTAGCTCAGGGAGGAGAGTGATTCCTGGATCGGCAGAGCAGAGGACAATACTCTATGACTTTAAAACTGTGCCAGGCACAGAGATGTTCCCTACTTCGAAGCACATTTGATTGTCTGATGGATGTGAGGCCCTTTTTGTTTCAGTTAATCCCACATGGGAAGAGTAGATAGAATGGGCGACTGAACTCTTTAATCTGCATAGTCCCTCCTACTTCCACAGTTGTAACAGGAATACTAAAAGAAAAACTGGGCCTGGCTGCATTAGGCTTTTAGGAGACAGAATCACAGCAAAGGTGTGAGGAACAGGACTCAGCATTGTGCAAGATTGTGCATTGTGGACGAGACCTCTGCAGAATGCATGCATGTGCATCCCCACTGCTGAAAGGCTGCTTGTAAGCAATTGCAGCAAAGGAAGTGCTGTAGGTAAACTCAGGTGTTGTAGAGAAGCCAGTTTTAGGGCTAAAAGCTGCAATAAGTAATACAAAGAAGAACCAGGTGAAGAGGTTGAAGAAATGAGTAGGAGCTGTGGCAGTTTCAGCAAACCAGCTGCTGTCACTTCTAAAGAGCTGGGCAGAAGAGTTAGACATAAGGTTAGCCAGTGGAGGAGTTTCAGAAGGGAAGTAGCTACCTCCTACTAAAGTTGGAACCCTGCAGAATAGTACAGTGGTCTAACCAACTTCTTTGAAGCCAGACTGCTTGGGGTCAGATTCTCTCTCTGCCACTTTTCTCAGCATACAACCTTAAGCAAGTAACTTGACTTTCTATGCCTTTGTTTTCTTTCTGTAAAATGGGAGTAATAGCACCTGCTTTCTAGGACTACTATCAGGTTAATATGCATGAAGCAGTTAGAAAGGTGCACTTGGCATATAGCTCTCAAAACAGTGAGCTCACCTTACACGGTTGTGCACATCCCTGTAATCAGCTATTTGGCGACAGATGCAAGAGGATCTCGAGTTTGAGGTCAGCCCAGGCAAAGTTAGCAAGACCCTACCTCAGAAACACCGATAAAACTAAAGGGCTGGAGTGTGGCTGAAGAGGTAGAGAGCTTGCCAAGCATAAGGCCCTGGGTTCAATCCCTAGTACTACAACAAACAAACAAAAGCCCCAGAGCTCATTTTCATTAAAATTATCACTCCATGTATTGTACTGCTAAGTCTAGAAGCTGTGAAAATGGAGCTTTGAAACCCAAGTTCCTAACAGAGTGGTTTTTGACTTGCTGAGTTCACCAGTGCTGGGCTTGTCCTGAGTGAAACTGCCAAGCTGGATGAGCCATCTGGGCTGGAGAGGAATCATGAAGGAACACAGGGAAAAAGACAGTGTCCTTGTGGTAATGAGAGCCGTCAGAAGGAAGGGTATCTGCTTCTCCCTGGCTGAGCAATTGTCTAGGGCCTTTGCCAAGGAGAGGGGACTAAGTACTGACAAAAGACAATCACATTAAGAGATTTCCTTCCTGAGACCTCTGAGCAATGGGACCTGAAGTGTATCTGTGCCCAGGTGCTTTGGGGGCAGAATGACCAGGTCCTGTCAATCTGGGGCTGCTTGAAATGAGAGCTTCTGGCAGAGCTGGGCCAAGACTTTTTCATGGTACAAGACCCTCAGCCTGGCTGGTAGACTAGAACAATGATAATAATGTTAGGTTGACTGATATGCAGTGGTTTTTGCAGTCAAAATGGCAATTTCATAAGGTACAAGCTTATGGAGCTACTGTGAGCACTTCCAATGGGCACAGCCACTGTTCTTTGTGTTAATTCACAATATCGCTGTTAATCCACTTAATCCTTGCCACAACCTTACAAGGTAGGCCATAACTAATGCCCCCCAATTTTACAAATGGGAAAACTGGGTTACCACGAGGTTAAATAACTAGGCCACAGTCACCCAGTGCATGAGTGCTGGAGACCCAGAATCCACTCTGAACCACATCTGCTGCCACTGTCCTTGGGCCAGGTCCAGCCCGGCTATGCCACACACTTCCTAGAGCACTAGAGTAACACTCACACCAGCTGCTTCACAGGCAAAGGTCTGTTGCTACTCTTCCTCTCTTTGAGACTTCTTCTGCCCCACCTCTCCTCCTGTTCACTGGCAATTGCTAACAGGCCTTTCCCTTATAAAGAAGTGTTTAACACAAAAATTGGTTGTTTCAAGCCAGGCACCAGTGGTTCATTCCTGTAATCTTAGCTACTTCAGGTAGAGATCAAGAGGATTGCGGTTCCAGGCCAGCCTAGAAAAATAGTTCACAAGACCCTCTTTGAAGAATACTCAACACAAAAAAAGGGCTGATGGAATAGCTCAGGTGGTAGAGAGCCTACCTAATATATATAAGACCCTGAATTCAAACCCCAATACCACCAAAAAAATGGTTGTTTGGAAAAACAATTCCTTCAAGGCACTCTCCCTGTTCTGGGACAAGGGTTTTTCCTGGGTTTTTGTCTTTCTATCACCAGAAGGACCTGTGACCTTCTGCTGCTCTTTCCTTCACTCTTTTACTCCCTCTTGGTGACTGAAACCTCCCCCAACCTTCTCTGTGGGAAGCAGAGACTCCTGTAAGCACTCAGTCGAGAAGGGGGACTAGATAGAGGCAGATTACTAGGCCCTGGGCCTCTGGCTGGAATCCTAGAGCCCCGCATAGGCTGCCTGGAGCTGTGAGGTTTTAGTCAGATCAGTGGTTAGTGGTGTTGGCTGGGAAGGAACAAGAGTCTTTTGGAGCATGGAACGCGTTGTATATTTTGATCTGGGTGGTGGATACTTGGGTGTGTACATACATGAAAAGTCATTGAACTATACATTGTGTACGTCAGGAAGCCACCATCACATTGCTGGGAGAAAAGTAAATAGTGGAGACAAGGGGGACAACACTAAAATCTACCAGCCAAACACACAGTTGACCTCACTCAAAAAAATCACTCAAAGCAAAAGCCTTCCTCACACAGG